TATTATAAATTTCAAGTCAAAATGACCAAGGTCATTTGAAAAAATAGTAAATGACCTTGTAATTTGCCATCACTGTGGTATGGAAATCGGTAACCTTAATGAAAAAGAATAATGCGATTAAGAACAAACAAATAAAAGAAGTGAAAAAGATCGAAAGGAATGAAAGATCGAGGATGAGGAATTTAAGAAACTTTAAAAATTGATCAAAAACTGTGGTTAGCAATCTCTTGAAGAAATATTAATTTACTTTATAGATTCCGTCACATTTGAATCGCTTCGGAGGGCATAGGTTAAGTTTTTTATTTTATATTTTGTTGATTTTATTATTATAAAATAAACCAATGGTTATAAACTTTTAATACTGTGAAAGCGATTGTGGATAGCTTCACCTACGCCATTACTGCGCCATTAAAATTGATTGATTCCAATCCTCACCGCGCGCGTCTTACATGACACGATTTCCATATCCCATATTTTAATTCATAAATTTTTGTTAGAGACCGTGAGTAAGCATTTTTTTTTGAACGAAAAAAGGTTCTTGGTAATTTTGTGATGATTCACGGTTGTAAACTGTAAGATAGAAAGCATAAAATTCTGTTAATAACAAGGACTTAAAATCTATGTTAAAACAAAATAAATTGATTAAATAAACCGAATATTGTACCATATTTTTCAATCACAAAATGGTATATCTTTTTCAACAATATTACCAAAGTCATATGATCTTATTTTTATTGATATCTCAAATAAACTTTAAATTAAATTTTTTTTTATATCGAATAAGCTACAATAATATATTTTAACTAGAAATAAATAAACACACACATATTATTATTTGTTAATAATTAGTAATTTAAAATAACTGGAATTAATGAAAAATTAGCTGTCATTTTTGAAAGATTTGATTTGTTTGATCTAATTCTTTAAATGGTTGCCGAAATGAATCTAAATTTTTATTAGAACTAATTATTGTAGTACTTCTATAAAAAAAATTAAAATATGCTAAATATAAATAACATTATATATAAAATCCATCTTGCCAATGTTGTAGATTCTTTAATAAATGCAACTTTTTAATATAATAATAATAGAATTAATAGTTTAAAATTTAATAAATACTAAAATACTGAAATATTTAAACAAATAAACCAACGTCGATAAATAGGAAAAATTCGAAGATTTAGCTTATAATCTACAGAGAGTTTACGCACATGATCGTAACCATTGAATACTAAATATTGAGAAAATTGACGTTATAGATATTTAAAATATGTGTAAACCTTTGTCTACCCTCTGTATTTACCTTGGGATATATAATAATTCAACTTTTTGGCTTTGTAATAGATAATAATAAAAGGTATATATTGAAAATAACGATACTTAGTTGATAGATAGCAATATTATTCGCCTAAATAAAAACAATAAATCAAATAAATACCATAACATATGAGTAGTAGCTGCGTAAGGATTTGCTTTGTTCCTTCAGCAACCAGGCGTTATGGACTGGTATTTCAACAGTTTCATAAAATTCAGTAATATGTTACCATTTGACAAAGAAAAAGAACTCGGAATTTTAGATTAACGGTGGCCATTTGTCATTTGATAATTGTAAATAGTATAAGTTTAGTACATTAAAAAAAAATACAAAGAAAAAAGGAAATAATTAAAAGTATACATTCGGTGTTGGAAGTTGAAGGAAATAATTTTTTTGCAATAAATATTAAAGTATTTTATGATGCAAAGTCGCATAATACTTTCGATCTCTATTACACGGATCGCGCCCATTCCACATATAAAATATACTTGGTAATCCAATTTGTTTATATGTCTTCATTGTATTGTTAACAGCCATTTTTTTTTGAAAGACCCATAATCATTTAACTTGATGATGACGAAAATCTATTTGTTTTTTCTATTTATTTAATTTCTTTGAAACATGTGAGTAAGATCCACCTTCTCTAAGGAAATATTTTGTTTTGTGCTAGAATTGTAATTTATCTAGTAATAAATATATTTGATTAGTACGATTATTTTGCAATATTACTGGGTCTACACATATATTTATATTTATTCTCCATAATTCACCATTGTTTCATTATCTGAATTTCGAAAAAATGTATATGAATATATGTGTCGTATGCTATTAAATTATTGATTCAAATTTTTGTCATTTATATTAAAAATAAATAAAAATAAATTTCACATCAAAAATAATTAAAATAATTTTAATTCAAATATTGAATGTTGTAATCAGAAATAAAAGTTAAACAGAAATTAATAACGAATTTACAGAAACACATACGAAATTTATAAAAAAAGCAATAATCACGAAAAAAAAATTCACAGAATTTCTGATCTGAAAACCATAAAAAAAATAAGACTGATATTTTTGATATTTTATTAGTTGAAGCTGAGGCGGAGTCTAGCGAACTTCCCAATTAATGTTCATTAGTTTCAGATTCATTGGACACACTTTGTTGATTGAAATCGGCTTTTCGCATTACGTTGGGCCAAATCATTTTGAAGAATTTCAAAAGAAGCCTTGATTGATGTAGATTCCACAAAAATTATTATGATGCGATTCCAGAGTTTTTCAGCTTCACTAATTTTATTTGTGATGATATTAAGCGAAGCTAAAAATCCATTCGCCTCCGAAAAAAAACTGCATTAAAATTTTCAATTATCGCGTTGATTTCATTGGCAATTTTTGAATCATGTGGGAGAAATCATTGGCTATTTTTTGCTTAACATGGCAGAACCCCAATAACCGTGACGAATTCAGGTAATAATTCTGAGCCAACGAGAAAAAAAAAAGGCGGTCAAGGCCAAAAATGGAAGATAAGATGATTGAGTTCATGTTTAGATAATGTGCAGTAGGATTTATTGGTAAAATTAGTTTATTAGTTTGATCTGGCGCAGTTATTTCGAATCAGCGAGTTTTTTCGTAAATGCGCAAGGAAAAGCATTATTTTATACTTTATTACTACTGCACGTGTAGAATTTAACCAAATGCAATAAAAAAATATACATTACTTTATTTCATAATTACATCTTTTTTTCACATAAAGCTGTTATAACGACTGGCCTTCTAATAATAATAAGTGTCTATCCCATGTCTATAATTCTTACCGTAATTTAGTACTAATGATAATGTCTTATGAATCATGTATCTTTTCCCAAATAGGAAGTTCGTTATGATAACATTACATCATAACATTAAAATTTATATTTATTAGTAATCGCCTCTTATTTTCTTTTCTTGTTTGTTCGTATAACTACAAATATTCCTAAGCACACAAAATCGAAATTTGGGACCTTTGCTTTTACTATGGTCGATATTTCTCTCAACTGTCGGCTCTTTCGAGATGTTGAAGAAAATCATAAATTTACTATGGTTGCCAACAATACATATTCTATCGAAAATTTTAAAAAGAAAATTAAAGAGAAAATTAGAGAGGCAGGGAATGATATTTTAAATGATATTGAGGCCGATCACTTAAGTCTTTGGTAGGTGTTGATAAGTTATAGTGATAAAGACGAATTTTCGAACCTTACCTTAGATACAAAGAACAAAAATGTAAAGAAACTCGAAGGACTTATTGGTGATTACTGGGCGATGCAGCCTCTTAAAAATTTTACCCATGTCATTATCGACTCTCCATATTTAACGATAGCGGGTCAAGGTAGGTCTAGTTACCTTTTTTTTTTAATCAAGATATAGTACGAGATGCATTATAAACGCATTTCAATAAACATCATCTAAGACATTTTGATACACATAGAAAAAGAGAAAGCAGAAAATCTTAGTGAACGTAAAATCCTCCCAGTCTTAGACCATGCTCGTTCTGAATTGCTTGATAAGATTATAGATGAATTTTGGGAGAAATTTATAAATGTTCCATTTACTTCTGTGTGTGAGTCATTGGTTGATGATAAAGAAGCTATTATCGCCTTCATGGATCCAGGGACACCTGACCACTTACCAGCTAAATTTAAGGGCTTCCCCGTGTTTGTTTGTTATGAAGCTCTTGAATTACATCATCGTTCCTTTCATAAAGAACTTATTCCTGGAACATGCATGGTGTTTAAAAAAAAAGGTTTTATGTCTTAATGGCTTTGAGAAAAGTACCTAAAAATAAAATATATACCGAATTGACAATTAAATGAATTTCACATTTTGAATTAAAAATCATATCATATTTTAAAAGTAAACTGTAAAGATTCGTACTCACGTATCTTTTGTTACACTAGGGTAGATTTCCTTTTCTGGGGACTCGTTTTTTTATATAAATCCCCTAGAAAATCTTATTATATATATATTTTTTTTTACTAAAAGCTAATATTTAAATTTTGAGTATACTAACTACCACGAAGTGTTGCATAACCTGAAACTTGTTTATAGGAAATTTTTTGGTACTAACTGCGCTCAAAGAACCTCGGTGAAAGGGTATATACTGTTAGAAACCCATTTGAATGACCATAAAGAGTTGCGGTCGTCGTCTTACATAAAACTCGAATCTAGTGCATCTTTAAGAAAATAACTTTGCACGAAATTTGATAACGCAATTATAATTTATATTTCTTTTAAGTTTATTTTTAGGTTTAGCTTTAAAATCCTTTTTTTTACCAAGCCCCCTGAATATTGGTCCTTTGTTAAAATTTTTCGAAGTATTGTGATCGATGCGATGCTTAACATCAAACTTTAACCTAATATTGGGAGTTTTAGGAAATGTGTCTAACTTTGCCAACATGGGGATATCTTAAATTGAAGAATTACCAGTCCAGGTATTTTAGATTTTAATTGAGCACATCACATGTTCATTTTTTCTGGAGATTTTGAACATAATCCTAAATTTCTTGTTGAAAAGAGGTATGATTTTACATTATTAGCAAGCCCATGTATTTATTCTTTGAGCAAAATTTGTTAATGATTTAAGAACATAATGACTCGTCTCGAAGGTTGCTAACAAATCTAGGGCCCTTTAGGAAATGACTCGGCACGACCTTTGATATAGTAACTGGTTTACCAATTTTACCAACCTCCTAATCTCATTTCAACTGTAAAGAGACTAAATTAACTAGTATATTCCCCCAAAGCAAGATAGATAGAACAAGAAGAATGCCTTGAACAAAATAAAAAAAATTCCCGTTACTAAATCAAGTTTAATTTTTTTTCCTTTATTCAGGAAATTGATAATGAAATGCGTCAAAATATAAGACACGAACTTTACCTTTTTTATGGTAACGTGATTTCATAAAATCTAATTTTTATTTATATTTTCTGTAGAAAAACATAGAAAAATAGGGACAGAAACAATTGTCATTTTCTCAATGTTACAATATTATCAGATGTATTTTTTCTTTTGTTACGTTCAATAATATGCTTGCATTTTGAATTATTCGCTATATAATAAAATAAAATAGGAAGGATTTAATAACCTTTTTTATAAAAATGTTATTTCTAATTTAATTTAATAGAATGAAATTTAAAAATCAACAATCTTCTCAAATTATAAAGCAAAAATTAATGTAACAAGATAAATAATAAATACTTTATGATAACATAAAAGAATAAATTTATTAATAACTGATTATAATTACGCTAATATGTTATGTCTTAACATTTTTTATGATAAATAAACATTTGTATAAATTAAAAAAATTTTTAAAATAATTGCTGCTCCATAAAATTTGAAATGTAAAATTAATCTTCTGGATATATGGATATTTTGAGTTCAGAAAATTTGTCTAAGTTGAGTTGACAGATGAAATTATAATCTATTTTGTTACAAATTATTTACTGCGCCTTTAAGAATATTTCTCTACAACATTTAATTAAAATTTTTCTTACGAATTATTAATAGATCATTTTTAAATTAATTATAGTAATAAAAAATTTATTATTATTAAAAACAAATTATTTATAGCCAGAGTCTTCCTGATGATCAAGTATTGATACGAGTATTACTCGATTTTAAACCATTTTTGATTCTAGGCTGTGGGACTGAATATTGTGAATGGGTCAAATTTAAAGAGATTCTTGTTGATAAGATTGGTTGCGATTTTGAAAAGATGAGATGTGCGCTTATCCTTGAAAATGATAATTTCATTTTTTTTCCTTACTTTCTTTTTTCCAATATTTATAAAATTTCTGAGATAGAAGGTCAAAATTTACCTAATTAATTTTTAAACTTTTCGAATTTGCGAAATTCACATAAAATTTTCTTTCTTTAGCTTCAGATTTAATAAATACACTTAATATATAAAATGCCAAATCCATTGGACGGTGATTCATGACTCAAGCATTTCGATGTAAAATTATGTGATTTTTTTTTTAATAAATGAATAATTTAAATGCCCAAATATCGCATGGTATCATGTTTTTACCTTCCTAGTATTGTTATTTTGACATGCCGTTTAACTAATTTTTTTCACTCGTGTGAAAAATAGTGAATATATCTAACACAAAAGAAAGGTCCTCAGAAAACTTAAAACAAGGGTAATGCAGGTGATAAATAATCCGAACCCTATCCTATTTTTTTGCGTCTTTCATGTGCCTCTTAATTGCATTCAATTAATCTTAAGTTTCTTTAAATAGTAATTATTTTATTGAATTAATGTTTTATTTTCACAATTTAATGAATTGTGAATCAAGATTACACAACATCAACAAAATTGCAAACATTCAATCAAATTTTTTAAATTTTGAATTTCGAACAGGAGAAAGTGTTCTTTTTTTTTTTCACAGCAATATCCCGAAATATATGTTGTTTTCAGAAAAAAAGAAGCAATTAAAATATATCAATATAAATATGTAACTTCAACTTTTCTTATAAACGAGCGTTTTCAAGAGCAATTATTTTCTTTTTTGATTTTATTCCACTTGTACAGAAAAAAAAAATATACGATCCTAGAATTGTATGCAACATATAATTAAAATATTCATCACTACCAGCTAAAGTTTTCGAAGAACTTTTAAACATCTGACCAATATTTTTCTAATGCATTAAAAAGTTTTTTTAGTGGGGGTTTGAAATCTTTCAATTCATTTGAAAGTGAATCCAGTTGTTCTTTTGCTTCCTTCATAGTTTGAGTTTTACTTTTGTGAAATTCAACATTACTAATCATTTTCATTCTCATTAACAGCTCAAATTCGGAAATTGTCATTTGAACATCTTTTAAAATGTTTTCAATTCGAGTAATATAGATTTTTTCATTTTGTCTAAAATCTGATTTTTCCAACTTTATCTTTCTGTTAAAAGCAGCTGCTACATAAAACCAAGTCTCATGGTCTACCTTTTTAACAACTTCACCAATAAAACATGAGATCCAATCCCTATAACAGCTTAAATCTTCTTTAGTTTTCAATAAATTTAATATCTCTTCCGTAAGGGTAAATGTATCACTTGTGGTTACATTTTGTGGTTCCGTAATATGAAGTATTTGTTTAGAGACATCTTCTAATTTTTCAACGTTCCCTCTACATTTATCCCAGGCTTCTTCATCAAAGTCTTCGGTAATGTTTTTAAATAGCATTTCTTGCACTTTACTTTTGTCTTCTAATGAATTTTTATAATTTGTGTTATTAAACATTAAATTCCTCAAAATATCATGGAAGTTATTAAAGTTATTCATGGTTATTTATTAGGCCGTGTAAGAAGTAGTTTCTTGTTATGTTATGTGTAAGGCGAGAGAGAGTTTTAAGGTGATCGTCATAAAACACTGCGCGTCAAATTACTTCATGACTCATAATAAATATTATGGTATGGTTTATTCTATTAGAAACATGCGGGATTAGAATTAATTCCTATTGGTCACCGCATTTATTGAACGATAACACTTCTATTAGATGGTGGATATATCGGTATTCGACCGACATAATGAGGTATTACTACTCAATCTATACATCTTACTTCAACAATGTCATATTTTTTTTTATCCGAGTCTTGTGTCTTCAGTGTGTTATAAAATAAATATATCTGATTAATCTTGAGAATCAGTATTTTTATTTTTTTTTTATAAAAAAATTTTATATAATATGATTTTGAAAAAGTTGAAAAAATCTTGGCCGGATACTTTTCCAAGGGTAGTTTAAAAAGTCATCAAAATAGAATAAACTATATGGAATAATATAAAATCACATACCTCAGACAGGAACTTCAGATAAGTCTGTCAAGTTCAAACATCTTCATCCTGGTCAGAGATAGAAAGAGTTAAGCCAGATCTTAAAGTACTCCATTTATTTTCTTAGAAACTGGTTGCGATTTGACAGCTCCTATTTAGTTATTTCTCTAGAAACTGAACTAGATGATACCATAATCATAACTAAATTTTTCGTCTATAATCTAAACAACTCGGGCATTAGTTTTCTTTTTTTTTCTTGACGACTTCTCTTATAATTTTTGACTTTAGTTGCCAAGCTGTATCAACTTTAAGAAGTTCATTTCTTTTCTGAATTGCAGGTTACTACACGGAGGTTGCTGACTTTATCTTTTCAAATACTGTAGAGGTTAGAACGGAGACAATAGGTCCATGTACTTTTTCAACAGTGTAGACGCATTTTTTAATAACCGTTATAGTTGTCGAATGGACGGAAGTTGGTAAACTATACATTAACTACTTTTAAGCAAGTCGATGGAGAAATTATAATTTGCTATGTATTTGGATTATATTTTGATGGATAATTCTTTCTGCATTAAAATCATTTTTTTAGTATTTTCATTTAACGTTTACATTTATCATTAAAATCATCATCGTTAAAATATTTAAAATCTAACTTTTTTAATTTTTAAAAAAAAATAGTTTTTTACATGACTTCAAAACTGTGATTATCACACACAGAAATGGCTCAAGATCATGACTTTGTTACGGAATTCCTTAATAATGTCAATTTGTAATATATTTTCCATCATCATTCCATTTGGTTCGAATGGTCAGAACAACAGATCCACCAGAAATAACTATCAGTTCCGTGATGATCAATGTGGACGCAGTCAAAGTTCGAGAGTAATAATTGCAATAAGACAATGGTTTATAAAAAAATAAATAAAAAAAAACCCAGTACTCTGCATGCATCGATCTTGACATTGTAACATGAATTTATAATTTGGTTGACAAACTAAAAATTGCAGTTTCAGAGACTTCATCCCCGCGTGCCAAATCGTTTTCAAAATTAGATTTTATAATTTGATCCTTTCTTAATACAAAAGGATATTCTACTTTTCTAATCGCCTGGTATTCTAGGGAGAAAATCCGATTTTAAAAATATTTGTTTCTACTAATTTTTAAATGTAGGTGGTCTCCCACGCTAGATTACTATGTTAAAAAGTAAAAAATGTCAAAATAGAATTTTGATGAGCAAAATCGACTTGTGATTTTATTTTTATTTCACGATTTTCCAAGATTATTATGGAACAAAATGAAGTAGATAATATAAAGCAATGGAGCATTTGATATAGTAACCCGCTGAATAAAAAGGTTGGACGGTGACCTATTGGGAAGTTAATTGCATGAGTTTGCCAAACTTATAAATTAAAGGAACAATTATTAGATATACGCCTGAAACTAATTATTACGATATAAAGTTTAGTAATTATCACAAACCTATATGAGGGCAAGAAGAAGTTTTTATATATTTGTAGAGTTTATAAGTCTATTCAGACTTATTAAACTATTTGAAATATCACGTAAAAATTCTTGAAAAATAATACTTCAAATATGCCAATAAGAATTTTTAATTTGTGTAGTACACCAAAAGAGAAAAAACAAGAATCTATACTTTATAATTTGTAAAAATCACTAGTATCCTGTCCTGTATTTATGCCTCATAATTAGGATCACTTTTAAGGAAATTTGTTTTAAATACAATATTAACCGTAATATTAATATTACTTTGTGGAGTAATGTGAAGGCATTTAATGATGAAAAATTGATTCCATTCTAATATATTATTTTATTTGATTCATAGAAAGTCAAGCAAATAGGCTATTTCCCATAAAATTTGAACAGAATAGAATCTTTACAATATTTACGATCTTTAAATCTGTACTTAAAATTTGTAAAAACTCATTTTATTTTTTTAAAAAAGTGACATACTACGAAAATAAATATCAAATAAAATATATTATACCGTATAAATTGTATTTTAGTGATATTATTGTTGCTGCAATGTTTATGCTAAGTTAACAACTTCAAATAATGCTACATTATATTCTCTTTATAAAAATAAAATACATATTTAAAATTTTTTGGAGTAAAGTATAGACTTAAATAATAAAACGACATGTGATTTACTAAATAATTTTAAAATCGAAATAAAAATACTAGCGAAGACTAATTTGCCATTTTTATTCACCACCATTACTTCGGATGTCATTCATTTCTTTTTGGAATCCTTGAACAGTCTTTATTACTTTGACAACATGATATGCGGTGAAGTTACATCCTTGGCTCTTGGCCAGCGTTTGCGCGGTTTGAAGGACATTACGGATCTCACGACCGTTCAAATCATATTTAACAAAGTCATCTGCACAAAGGGGAAGCTTGCCATTCCTGATAAAATTTGTCCAAACCTTGTGTCTTTCTTCCGAATTGAAATTAGGGTAATGGAAGAACATATTAATTCGTGAGCAGATCGCATCGTCAAAAGTGATGACGCGATTTGTCGTCAGGAAGAGAATGCCTGAATGGAAAAAAATAATTGAATTAATAAAATCTAATTCTTCTCATTTAGAAACTATATGAATGGAATGACAAAAACGAAAGCTTGCTGACCTTGATAGTATTCCAAACGACGTAAGAATACACCAACCATTGCGTTACGTATTATATCAGCTGCATTACGTTTTTCAAGGTAAATATCAGCTTCATCAAGTAGGAGGACTGCCTTCCACGTATATGCTACATCTAGAAGTTTGACCAATCGCTGATCCAGTCTGCGTACAAGTATTTGATAGCGATGACGAAATGAATCAGTAAATTGAACAAATTATAAATCAGTTTATAATATAATAAAATATGTACATACTCAGCTGGTTCCATCCCAAGTTCGTGTACGTTAAGCATCCATAATGGCCTTTTGAGAAATTCGGCCACACTTTCAGCTGTTAATGTTTTTCCAGTTCCAGGTGGCCCATAGCATAGAAAGATGCAACCATTGCCTTTGTTAGTAATAGGATCGAGTGGTTTCGTGAATGAGGTCATTGCGTCTCCATTGGGCATCTGTGTGGGTACAACATACTGTCTCACTAACCCTTCAAGGATTTCTTTTCTATCATCGGGCATCACCAGATGACTGAAAGCTTCCGTGTCAAAACTAATCTCCGAGAATTTCAAGACCTCGAATTGACCCCATTCTTTTAACGCAAAGCTGAACCCGTACACTAACGAAGGTGCGAGAAGGTGACTAGCTTTCTGTTGAATTTCATCTTCATTAAGATAAACACCATTTTCTCCCAACAATACAATATCACATTTGTTTGGTGGTAAAGCATTCCCCATTGAATATTCGGGATTCATGATTGAAAAACTTTGTAGATCAATCATGACACGACCATTGACTCTAATCTTCTCCAACTTCATGCAATTGTTTACCCTTCGCCATCGTAATAACGGGCCCTCATAATTCATAAAATGGCTTCCTAATGCAAGTTCGAAAAACCGTTTCCCATTTTCAATAATAGTGTCCTCGAGGAATGTGCTTTGTTTAGAAAACTTGAATGGAACGACGGGTAAATCAGAGAAGCCAATTTCACCCTTGAAGCATTCGATCTTGCGCGTTACAAAGCAACGTTTAAATCCATTTCCGTCACAGTCGATAATCTTAATGTTTATATTAAACACCTTTTTAAATTCATTATTAACAAATTCGAGTTTTTCATGTGTCGAGGAAATGACACCACCGATTTGCTGACCAGACATATCACATCGACTATGAAGGAATGGTTTTCAGACATAAGAAAGTTCAATTTGAAAGCAAGTAATGAAAAAAATTGCTTTTGGAATTGATTTTTAAGAAAAAAAATTAGTACTTACTACCATACGTCCGAATTTGGGGTGTAAAATACCCATAACATGTCATATGAAACTACACGTTGCTTGAGCATCCTTTCACGAGTTTTGGTCGTCTGATTGTATTCCTGTTCAATGAATCGAATCAAGTGATTCAAATGAACCTTTTCAACCTCCAGGTTATGCGCTTATATAAAGAAAAAAAATTCATGAATTCAGTTTATCCTTGATTAATTGATTTAAATGTAGTTAGGAAAATAAATAGAAGTAAGTACCATCTTCCGTTACGGTTTCAGATAAAGATCTAGAGGCATAATCATGTAACTTTTCCAAAACGTGATACAAATCGCGTGATTCAATTCTGGGCGCATCATTGAGAATTTCTTTGTCGTCAATAAGAATACCTCTTAAGGTCTTGATCAATGAATAGGAACTCAACTCGACAAATGTGGTGTAAAAATCTTTGGCATTCTGAAAGTAAACTACCTTAAAAGGAACGATTTTGCTTTTCTGGGCGCTTTCAATCTTTGCTTTGCGCAATTTCTTTCCAATTTGATCGAACCATTCATCGAAGCATGGCCAATTCCAGTCCACCTTTAAAACATCTTCGAGAGTAACATCAGCATCTTCTTTGTCATCTTTGACTCTATCAAATGCATCATTGTACGGAAATCTTTCAATGAATCTTGGTATGACAGAAATTGGTCGTTGCCCCCTTGATTGCATTTTACAATAAATTTAATTATTTAAATATTTTTTTGAGCAAAATGAGAACTTGAAAAATACGAAAGAAGAACAAATTTTATTATATTTATACATAAATTTTTTTAAAAAATTAAATCAATTGATAAAATTTATTACAATGAAAAGTTGCAAAGATATTCACAAATATCGGATATCAAAATGGAAGAAAAAAACCTAATCAAAACGTAGTTTAAATGATGTGACGATGCTTATAACCCGCAGCAGAATGTTACACCAAAATTATTGGCTAAACGTTAATCTCTTTTTAAAGCTTCCTTTTAAAAAGTTTCCTTTTTATCTTTTTAAAAAAAAAAGTTAGCCTTAAAAGGTAGGATTTATATTTTTTTTTTCTTGAATGGCACATTGAATGAAAAAAGGAATAATTATCTAAGACATGTGAAGTCATTGCAAAAATAAAATTCTAATAATAGCAAAGGATCCAGTCCTACAAAATTTGTAAAAAAATGAGTCGTAATTTGACTGTGCTCGAAATTTGATCGCCGCGGCATTGACGACCAATTCGTTCTTATTATGAAAGGATATGATTTTATGTTTTTCAATTTTGGAGTTCATAATATTTTCGAGTAGAAACGTGCCGATCAATTCTTTTATTTATTTTTTTTTTTTAAAAAAATTAAATGTTAATCATATTTCGTAACGTAACATTTATTTTGTTTATTAAAACATTAACAATCTTAATCAGTGTTGACCTTTTGGACTAATGGACTTTTGGACCATTGGACTATTGGACTACTGGACTTGGTCCATTTCAATTCCATTAAAATTTGGACTATTGGACTATAATCTTCGTCCAACATTTATTAATTTATATATTAATTTTAATAATTATAAAATTTATAATATGTAAAATCATTTTATTGATATTTGTTAGAATTTTTTATTAAACTCACTAACTATTACCTAATATAAAAGTTGACAAATAATTAGG